GAAGGATCAGGAGTTTGACTCATGGTCAGCCAGATGGGGAGTTTGAAAGCCATCCTTGGATGACATCCTGTTTTAAGTCCTCCATTACCCTTCCCCCCAAATCCTTAGAATAATGACAAAGAACCTGAACTAAAGCTTGGATTCCAAGGTAATTCCTCAGGTGGCATATAGGAAAAACATGTGATTGGCCTTAGGGGAGCTGTAAAATTAGTATCACCTCCTAAGACTTCAGTTGAACTAAATTGGATGCCAGTGTCCCAGTGTATAGTGTGTGTTGGTGCGTGGAAAGAAGAAAAAGAGAAAATTACTATCCCTTCCATTATTTAAGTCCTGGTGGAACTGTCATTTGGAATATTAAGGATTTTATTGTTGCTTGTTTCATTTTTTTGTTGTTGTAAAGTTTAGTGGTGACTCTATATAACATAGTTTTAAGTAAAATAAGTTATACTTAATCTGTAGAGATAAAAGTTTCAACATGGGACCAGCTATAGAGATGTCTGATTATTTAATTATTGGTTAAATTAGTTGCATCCATCTCTATTCTGGTCCTTTTTAAAAGGCAGGAAATACGGTGATAGTCAGGTAGTGATTGTAGATACTGCTTCAAACCAAGCTGAGTTAGATTTTATCCTCAGTAGTTTCTAAGATGGGATGCCATGGTGCTTATTTATAAGCATTCCAATTAGAGATCATGTGACTGGGTTGAAACTAAAAGCTACCCTGCTTTAATTTGTAGTTGTCCCACCAAGCACAGCATTTTCCATTCTTTGTCATGATCTTAACTGCTGCTTTAATTTGCAGGATGAGTCTGAATGTACTTCAGATGAGGAAATCTTTATCTCACAAGATGAAATACAGTCATTTATGGCTAATAACCAGTCTTTCTACAGCAATAGAGAACAATACCGACAGCATCTGAAGGAGAAATTTAATAAATACTGCCGCTTAAATGACCACAAGAGGCCCATTTGTAGTGGCTGGTTGACAACGGCTGGAGCAAATTAAATAAATAAAATAGCTCTGTCTTTCAATGAAACACTCAAGATGACTACTGCGCCTTCTCTTTTAAAAACTCTTAATTTAGTGACTTCTGGCAAAATTTTATCTTAAATCAATGTGATTCCTTGTTTTGGGAGATGGTGGAGGTAACCTCATTCGTTTGTTCTTTCTTCAGGCTTGTGTCTTTAGTTGCGTGGCTGCACAGGCCTGCTTATGATTTAAGCCATCTCTTCATTAAACGTTTCTCTTCCTGTGAGACTTACTAAAGCAACTTAGTGGCAAAAGTAATGTTGTACTTACACCTCTGTACAGAAATGACAGTGAGCTGGATATATGGTTTACAGTAGACATCCACTTGCAAAGTGTCTGGACGCAATGTTAAAGGCAATGTGCAAAATTTAAAATAAAGAGTATTTATTAATACGCATAGTAGAATGTGGTGTACATGTTTCTGCTCAGTGTGGTGGTACTTTAGTGTTTGCCACTCGTGAACTTTGTACTTGGCCATCATTGATGGAGAGAGCATGAAGAGCAAATGAAGATAAAGATGCAGACTGTTTAAGACCGAATTTTTCCTTTAATGAGACTTGACAACTGCACGAAGCAGTTTCTAGTCTTGTTCTTAAAGAATAAATGGCTTTAAATAATGGCTATCATTTTCCTTTCTTATGAGACTTGAGTTGCAGTTGGAAACTAGTAGTTTCCAAAGAGGTGACAGAAACACCTTAAATTCAGAGGTTCTAATTGACCGAAAGGAATGAAGCAAAATGTTGGTAATTACTCAGCCTATAAGACTGGGACCATGGGGGCTGGAGAGCGGGCTCAGTGATTAAGAACACTGACTACTTTTCTAGAGGACCTGGGTTCAATTTCTAGTACCCATCTGGCAGCTCACAACTGTAATTCCAGTTCCAGGGGACCTGACACCCATGGCGAAACACCAGTACACATAAAATAAAAATAAATGTAATAATAATTACAAAAAAAATGGGGGCCAAGGAAGGATGCATGTGGTCTGTATAAGTGCGTACTCAGCCTTATTTGTTTTCCTTCTTCCATGAACTCAGTATGACTTTACAGTTTACTGCTGTCAGAAGCTGAGTACTGAAGGGGAAAGATTCCCAGGAATAACATTCTGCAAATAGCATTTGATAGGTCAAATTAGTGATGGGGAGATAACAGTAAGAACCTAAGTTCCAACAGGGAAGTGGTGATGCATGCTTTTAATCCCAGTATTTGGGAGAAAGGTAGGCAGATCTTTGAGGTCTAGCAAGGCCAGCCTAGTCTACAGAGCCAAGTTCCAGGACAGCCAGAGCTACACAGAGAAACTGTCTTGAAAAATGGGAACCACACAAAAACCTGAGTTCTATCCCCAGAACACACTAAGAGGGAGAGGTTGGGTAAGGGATGAGACTGGGTAATGTGTAAAAAGAAAAGGACTAAATTCATTATATACTATATGAAACTGTCAAAGAATAAAAAGTAAACTGGGGGAAAAAGTAAATTGGCCAAAAAGAAAAAGCTCAGTGCTGGGCATCAGAGACAGACTTAATGGCTTGCTGACCTACTGGGCTTGTGTTCCAGGCCAAAGAAAGCCTGTTTCAAAGAAGGTGCTTGCCACCAGGCCTCACAACTTGAGTGATTCCTGGGACCCATATGGAGAAATCTGACCCCCACAAGTTGTCCCCTCTGACCTCATGAGGTATGCATGTCCCCCACCAATAAATATGTAACTACTGATTTTGAGACTTGACATGTAGACCAAGTGGGTCTTGAACTCAGAGATCTGCCTGCCTCTGTCTTCCAGGTTCTGGGATTAAAAGTGTGTTGCCACACTTAATATCATAATACTTAAATACTTAAATATTAAATTTATGATACTTAAATACTTAAAAAGATGGACAGTGTTAACAGGAACCATATCAGTTTTGTCTGGCTTACACATATGCATGCCTGGCACTTGGTACACAACGAATGGGGGAAAAGCATTAGGTTGAATAGCACTACAAATGCATAGTTAGAGCTTTGTTGATAACACTTGGTGACCCCGATAAAAGTAGTAGGACATCATGTCTGAGGAGTGGAGCTGCACTGAATTGTAGGGACTTCCTACCATTTAAGAGTTCAAGTGTGTAACAATCATGCTTAAGTCCTGTTTTCATCATTGGCATCCTTTGTTTGAGGCTCACTGTGCAGCTCAGACTGGCCTTGAACTGGAGATTTTCTTACCTCAGCCTCCTTGGAGATATATCCCAAGGTGTTGATGGTCAACATGAGTTGTATTTAAAATTGGTTGTGTGTCACTGAGCAACATACTCAACTCTGGGAAGATAATGTTAGGCAATTTTTTCTTTACTAGATAGTCACTCTGCCAACTGAGCTACACACCTGGCTATGTAAAGTTTCCAAAAGCAGTGGTTTTGTTGTAATTGTTGCTCTTGTGGCCATATGAAGGATAGCTAAGTGGGTGCTTATTGAATGAAATTTTAAAAATTTTGTTTTTTGAAACAGGGAGGGTTTCTCTGTGTAACAGCTTTGGCTGTTATGGAACTTGCTCTGTAGACCAGGCAGGCCTTGAACTCATAGAGATCTGCCTGTCTCTGCCTCCTGAGTACTCATTTTAAAGGCACATGCTGCCATCAGCCAGCAATTATTAAAAAAAACCTTTTATGTGTGTTGGTGTTTTCACTTCTAAGTATGTTTGTGTGAAGATGTTGGACTGGAGTTAGAGTTGTGAGTTGCCATGTGGATGCTGGGAGTTGAACCAGTGCTTTTCTGAGCTCTTCATCCCAGAATGTGATTTACAAACATGCCTCAGCCTCCTGGTGCTCCACACAAGCCATGTGTGGAGAGAGATCCTATGTCTGACCTATATGTCCAACTCCAGCAACCATAAGGCATGGCTATATGAAGAAGGCAGACATCAGTTTTTATGTTTTTATTTTTGTGTTTTTCAAGACAGGGTTTCTCTGTATGTAGCCCTGGCTGACCTGGACCTCACCCTATAGATTGATTGGTCTACCTGCCTTTGCCTCCTGGTGCAGGGATTAAAGTCATAAAGGTGAGCACCACCACCACAGGCAGTTTTCAGCCTGGAATGGCCAGTGAACCCTTCTCTGAACAAAACTGACAGCCTAATAATGGAAAATGAAAGATAGCTGGGCACATTCCTGTCCTAGGATTGGGCCGCAAGTCACACCATCACACCTCTATATGTGCCAGTATAATTGTGTTACTTCTTGTGAAAAGGTCTGTTCCAGCTGGCCTGAAACTGTCTGTGTAGTAAAAGATGGCCTTGAACTGATTCATCTGCCTCCACCTCCCATAGTGCTATTACTGGCTTGTGCCACCAGGCCTTGTGGTAGAGCAAGAGCTCAACATGTGTGAGGCCCTGTGTTGAGTCGCCTGCAATAGAAAAACAAAACAAAACCCCCTATCTTAGGTATATTTTGCATGTTTAAAGTGTGTACATATGCCTGCTACATAGTGTCCAGATTGTCAGCTCTTGCCAGCAATCATGAAAGTACATCGTATAACATTTGCACTCACATGGGACTGGAGAGGGTGCAGTTGGAGACCATGGGGCCATTTAGGAGTAGAACCCAACAATACTTGGGCATTTTAACCATTTAGTTGTTTTAGGTTAGTAAGGCCAAAGGATCGGGTAATGTGCATAAGAGCCCTTCCTCGGGTCACCTGGTCTTAATGGCGGAGAACTTGAGTTTTCCTGGACTGAATCCTTGTTATCAGTCAACTGTGGTTTGGGAGGGTCCTGGAATAACCTTTAGGTCCCTTGTCCTGGCCTCAGGCCTCTGGAAGTGGGGCTGACTGAGCAAAGGAGGCCTTGAGTGCGTGCATTCTCTTCCTCTTCCACCACAAAAGGAGGTGCTCACCAAGAAAGCAAGAGCACAGGGTGTCAGGCCCCCTCTCGCGCCGGTGGGCCCCCACCAGCAACGCTGCGGTTTCCGTCAGCCGCGGGAGGGACGGGCTCGTGAGGGGGCGTGGCCGGAAGGGGCGGCCCCGCGGCCGCTCAAGGGACAGGGCGGCCAGGCCGCGGCGGTCCTCGGGCTCGATGTGGCCCAGTGCCGAGGTCCCGAGGGCGGAGCCCCGGCCAGAGGCCGGCCCGCATGGGGGTGGATCTAGGCGCTGCTCCGATGTTTGCAGGTTGTCGGAGCCCGCCCCATCAGTGACCGGGGAGCGGCCGAGCCTCGGTGACTCCGGACGAAGCTCCCTGGTCTCAGTGCCTGGCTCGCTGAACGAGGTGGCCGGACGGCTCGGGACCATGGCCAGAGCCGGCATGGAGAGGTGGCGCGACCGGCTGGCACTGGTGACGGGAGCCTCGGGGGGCATAGGTGCGGCCGTGGCTCGGGCATTAGTCCAGCAGGGACTGAAGGTGGTGGGTTGTGCCCGCACCGTTGGCAACATCGAGGTAAGGCCCCGCTGAGCAGCGGGGACGCTCTGGGGGACGTCGTTTCCACGGGGTAGGGCTCCGAGTGGGGGAGGGGGAGTGGCCGGAGCCAGGTTGTGACCCTGCTCTCCCCAGCCTGCTACCCCAGGGCCATTTGCAACGGTCTCGAGGGCAGGGGAGATGGGTGTCTAGTAGCGGGAGGACTTACTTTCTCCCTTAGTCCTGTTTTTATGAAGAGCTGGTCGCTCCTGGTAGCCTGTGCTGCAGTGTACCAAATCCCTGACCCCTGGCATTCTCTTCCCTTACCCCTGCCATCATCTGCCCCTATACCAGCAGGTGGAAAGGGGAAGCCAGAGGTCATGGCCTAGCTAGGCAACCAGGGAGAAGGAAAGAGAGCTGGCTAGCCTTAGTGGCTAGGTTAGTTTCCTCTTGTCCCCAGACCTCACCCAGCCACACCAGGTAAACTGCTATCCAACCAATGAGCAAGAGGCTAAAGGTCTTGAGTGTTTGACCCACAAGTGAGGCGGATGGGGGTGGGGAGGAACTCTCCTTTCAGTCATATCTGAAGTTCCGCTCATATGCCATGAGCCTAAGTAGTGACTGGAATATTTACTTATAGATCCTTTTTTTCTGATTCACTTTCCTAGGTGGGACTGAATAGGTGAAATAGGGCATTGGACATGTAAATCTTGATGGATCCAGAACTTCCTAGTTTTTCTTTTAACATGCTTTTGGGGGTTCCCAGACTTATGAGCAGCATCAACTCTCAAAAAGATGAGGAGGAGATGGCCATTTTGGGGAAGACAAGAGAAAGTCCCATTATTTGCCCTGGCAGGACCACCATCAGGTGTGTAGGCTAGCCCTTCCCTGCCGGGCCCTGCCCTCACCTTAGCTCAAAGTCCGCTAGTAGAAAAGGGGTAAGGAGGCTTTGGGTGGAGGCGAAGGAAGGTGTGCAGGAGGGACTGTCCGCTCCCCAGCTACTGACTAAAGGTACACTTTATAGCCTCCCAGATAATCCCAAGGTCACCTGGCTCCACCAGCACCCCACTTTGCCCCTCCCTTTCCCTGGAGACACATAGGGCCCAACCCTGGCTTTGAAGCCTAGGGGATTAAGGCCAGGGGTTGGATAACTGGATTCTCCTAGGCTTGTAAAAAAAAGTATGTGCATTGGTGCATTTGCCTGCATATATGTCTGTGTGAGGGTGCCAGATCCCCTGGAACTGGAGTTATAGACAGTGAGCCGCTGCGCTGGGAATTGAACCCTGGTCCTCTGGAAGAGTAGTCAGTGCTTTTGACCACCGAGCCATCTCTTCAAACCTCTGTTTTTAGTTTTGGTCCCCTAATTCTGAAGCCATTCTCGCCTTCTCTTCCACTTCTTTACCCTAAGCTAGCCAGGAAAGGGAGGCCCTGAATCCCAAGGGAATCTCCAGGCAGGTTATTTAGCCTGAGGATGGCTCCTTGTTATTAAGGGAGAACATCTTTGCTGTGTGGGACTGTCCTGATTTCAGGTCATTTTGGAGAGTAGATGGAGATGGCAGAGGTGAAGCATGGAGAGGCAGTGACTCCGAGAGGAATATTACACGCACGCACGCACGCACGCACGCACGCACGCACATACACAACAAACACCCATTCACTGCCCATATACCCCTAACACACACACACACACACACAGTTTTTCTGTTGGAGACTTTGAGTCTAGAGGGGGGATTCCTGGGTTTCTTGCTCACTATCTGTTTTATTGATTGATTAATTCGATGATATTAAAACTAAGTTTGGGTTCTGGCATTCTACTAGGAGAAATCCTATTCCCTGGGGTGGTTATGAACAGTAAAATCAGGTGGAAGGGGGATTCTGAGTCCCAGAGGGATACAGTTTTTGAACTCATAGAAAGTTAAAGCAGGAAGAACCTAACAAGGTACAAGTGAGGCAGAGGCAGGTGGATCTGTGAGTTCAAGGCCAGCCTGGTCTACAGAGCGAGTTCCAGGACAGCCAGGGCTACACAGAGAAACCCTGTCTCAAACACGCAAAACCAAACCAAAACAAAACAAACAGAAAGGAAGGAAAGAATTTACTTGGTCACCCGATCAAGCCTTTTATTCCTGGCTTCACTTGGAAGGAGGAAGGGGCTCCAGGCCAGGGCAGTTGGCCAAATTGGCCTTCCTGTAGGGCAGCCTGCACCCTGCCCCCCACCTCCCTTACACAGTCACCTTCACAAGTGCACAGTCACTCACTGGCCTCCCACAGCCCGCCTTCTTCCAACTTCTAAATGTCAGCTCCTGCCACACTTAGTGGCTCTGCTTTCTCAGGGCTCTACAGTGTGCTGACGAACTTGGATGCGCAGGAAGTATCTAGTGGCAGTCGACCAACCAAGTAGTGGGGAAAACTTGGGGTTGAGGGGGAGCCAGGGGTTAGAGAGCCTGACCACTTTCAGGGAGGAAGAGGGACTTGATTGAGTTCCACTGACAGATGTGTATAGGACTTACCTTTAAGTTCTGTGTGCTCCCCGCATTCCCCCCCCCCAGACAGGGTTCTTCTCTGTATAGCTTTGGAGCCTGTCCTGGAACTAGCTTTGTAGACCAGGCTGACCTTGAACTCACAGAGATCCTCCTGCCTCTGCCTCCTGAGTGCTGGGACTAAAGGCATGCAACCACCAAAGCCCGGCTAAGTTCTGTGTGCCTTTTGTGAAGGGATGGTGGCAATTCAGAGCTGAGCCCTTCTGGGAGGGACTGTCTGACACTAAAGAGAATAGAACTAGAGCTCCGGGGTAACCAGCTCAGGGCCTCTTGGCCCTAATGGAAGAATGATATTGGGCCAAAGGTATATATAGGTCTATTTCCAGGTATTGAGGAAAGAATAGAAGAGAAATCTACCTCCATTCCCAGGATCCCTGTCCCCTTCTCTCTCCTTAGCACCAGAGACTTTAGTGTATATGTGACATTCTTCCTTGATCTGTTCTGCTGTTCCTCTCCTCGCAGGGAGTGTCCCCAACCCCTTAGACTTTGACCAAACAGATCAATCTTTGGGGATGGGCAGACCCAGCCTCTCTCATATGGCCTTAGGCAGCTGCTGCTAGAGAGCTCTGAGTAGTGAAATGGGAGGGAAGGCTGACCCTGGGTGAGGTGTGGGAGTGAGCAGCTCACCCCAGTTAGACCCCTGTTGGGTTTCATAGGAGCTGGCTGCTGAATGTAAGAGTGCAGGCTACCCCGGGACTTTGATCCCCTACAGATGTGACCTGTCAAATGAGGAGGACATCCTCTCCATGTTCTCGGCTGTCCGCTCTCAGCACAGTGGCGTGGATATCTGCATCAACAATGCCGGCATGGCCCGGCCTGACACCCTGCTCTCAGGCAGCACCAGCGGTTGGAAGGACATGTTCAATGTAAGGGTTCCAGAACTGGGGCAGGAGGCTGGGTGACAAGAGGAGAGTGGGCACCAAGGGCCTGTAAGGCAGAGGGCTCGTGGGACAAGACTCCAAGGAGAGGAAGCATTTTGATTTTCCACTCACTGCTTGTGGCACAAGGATAGTGAGTGAGTGGATACGCGTCTTTTTTAGCCCCTGGTAATTCGTAAATTCTAGACTGGTTGTGATGGGAGAAAGATTGTGGGGGAGAGAACTGTAGTTTGTAGAGTGTCCCTGCCTGTGCTGGGTCCCTGGGATCATGGTCTTAGGGGAAGTAAAGTGGCAGAGATAAGAGGTTATGTTCACACCTGGCTCTGTGTGACTCAGGCAAGTTGATTGACAGCCTCTGAGTTTCAGTCCTGTCACAGTTAGTTGGGATGAACATATTATCAGTATCACACCCTCCACTGTCCCCACATGTGATCTACAGAATCGAGGAGAACACATGGCCTTGTAAAAGGGTGACCCTTGCTCAAATCCAGGTTAGTTGCTCCACTGCCGATCTTTGATTTCTTTTCAAGAAATGGGGACTCTGCCCTACACTTTAGAGAATGTGGGGGCCAGAGGCTGGTGAGATGGCTCAGTGGGCGAAGGTGCTTACCATTAAGACCCAGGATCCATGTGGTGAGAGAAGAGAGTCACTCCTATACATTCTCCTTTGATCTCCACGTTAGCACTGTGGCATGTACACACCCAAAGTAAATAAATAATGTAATAAGAGCATGTGGAGGCCAAACACAGCCAAGGACCTGTGTTTCCAACTTCTGCGCAGCATTGTGGGGTGACCTTAGGGTGTGAAAGTATTTGAGAAGCTGAAAGCAATGCCACAGCTCTGCTACATCTGGTACCACTAGCTTAGTACTAATAGGTACTTGGAAGTGAAACGATGAACAATGAGAATGAATGCTTGTCCTCAGTGTTCTGGATCAGAATCATAGCCCTGGTGTGCAGAGGTGCATGTCTAAACCTGGACCTTAGCTTGCCCATCTGTAAAATGAGGGACTCCTAAGTCCCCAAGGCCCCCTTGCCTTGAATATTACCTAAATCTAGTAGCCCCATCCTAATAGGCCCTAGACCCAGGAGGCTCCCACCATGCTCCTGAGGGATACATTTGGCCTCTGTATGTCTGCAAATCCTACCCTGTTAAGAGGACCAGAAACAGGCTGAGTCCTTTCTGCATCCTAATATCCAAGTGTTGCTGCTACCACAAGCACTGAGGCAGGTTTTCACTGGGGGCATTCTGTCCTGGTGTCTGGGTGACACTTGATAAAGCAAATCAGCTAATTTGCCAGCTGTCCCTCTCTGGATAAGAGAGGCAGGGGGGCCCGATGACAGCTTTATCGCTGCTGGCTCTCTGACAAGGCTAATAGGTGGAGTGACAGCGGACAGAGGCTTCAGAGCAGATAGCTCCTCAGACCTCTGCTCTGTGAAGGGTGGGGACTTCATAGAGGTCACCTCTGCCACAAGTGACAGGGGACCCCACCCACTGAAGATTCCCCACACCTGGGCTTGTTGCTGGGGTGCAGGTTAAAGGCCCGTGAGTCTCCTCCACACATGATTGGTGGGGATTACCAGGGAGCAGGGTGACTGAGGAGGGCAGGGAGAGAGGGGATGGGTTGTGTGTGTGAGGGAGAAGATTTAGGCCATTTCAGGAAGGGTTTCAATCTGTTTAGGAGGGAGCAGGTACAGACACTGTCCCTGAGAAGGGGCTGGTTTACTGAGGCAGAGATGGCTGGCAGAGTGTCCTGGGCTTGTTGGGAAGCTTATTCCTCTGGGGACTCAGCCAGGAGAAGACCTGCCTCTGCGGTCATGTGTGGGTGGCAGCTGTGAGGAGTGGAACCCTCCACAGAGAAGGCACGGCACTCCCTGCCCCTGGCACTCGACAATCCCACCTGTTGAGTGGGGCCCAAGCTGGAGACACTCCATTGCCTTCCCTGGCCCACAGGTGAATGTGCTGGCCCTCAGCATCTGCACTCGGGAGGCTTATCAGTCCATGAAGGAGCGGAATGTGGACGACGGGCATATCATTAACATCAACAGGTGAGGCCAGGCGGCCACTCTGGTGCAGCTCACTTAACTTCTAGACGGCAGTGTCTTTGGTAGTGAGATAGGTATGATCCTGACAAAGGGAAGTGCCTGCATCTGGTCATCTAGAGTGGACAGCTTAGCCCTGGCCCTCCATAGCCAACGCCTAGAACTCTCCAGGGACTGAGTACCATTGTGCCTCTTCCTCAGACCCAGGGATAAACCCTTCTTGTGGTCCAAAGAGACTGCACAGACTCTAACATAGGCGAGCCCATTGTCTGTTGGGGGGCATGGTCTGGATAGCCTCAGAGATCTCCCAGTAGACCCCTGTCAGTGGACACCCAGACAACATGGTGAGGCTTTTGTCAACCTGTCGGGCTGCAGAAGTGAGTATGCAATCAGCAGAAGGACAGCTTCAAGGCAAAACAGGTTTCAGGAGCTGTGTAGACAAGAGACTGGATTCTTCCAGTGGACTGTAGGGATAGCATCAGAGGTTCCCATATCATTCCCCTCCCCCCCAGACTTCGCTGTCAGCCTCTGGATAATGAGTCTGACCAGGATGATAGGAGCACTGCCAGTGTCTCTGGAACTTTACTCTCTCATCTCTCCCCTTCCCTTCTTCCACCCAGCATGTGTGGCCACCGAGTCCCACCCCAGTCTGTCATCCATTTCTATAGTGCGACCAAGTATGCCGTCACTGCATTGACAGAGGGACTAAGGCAAGAGCTTCTGGAGGCCCAGACCCATATCCGGGCCACGGTGAGGCTGTGGTCTAGCCCTGGTGGGAATGGCGCGGGCCCAGCCCTCCCACCTGCACGTGTCCAGGAAGGCCTGCTGAGAGCCCCTGGGTTCAACTGAGTGCACACGTCCTGGGCTCCGGGGCGCTGGAGCTCCTTACAAGGACAGTCACCTCACTTCACTGACTCCAGAGCCCATGGTCAGACTTACACTTTGAGTGGGAGGGGGCGACTTGAAGGGAACATGGAGTGAGACTAAGGACAATCACACACAGTGACTGGAGACCAGCTGGAAGACCACGTGACTTGGGGTAAATCACTGAGCCTCCCCAAGCTTCAGTCTTCACATCTGTGAAATGGCGTGATGCTTACCCCGTGTGAGGCTTTAAGCAGCACCGCCTTGTGAAGCACTAAACGTGTAGGAACGGCTCCATATGTAGTACAGGATGTTGTGAGAGGGGCCAGTTGCAGCTGTCAGTAGTGACTTCGGAAGGAGGAGGACAGTTGAGGACATGAGGCAGCTGTCGCTGTGAATCAAGAGCCCTGTGTCCTCTATCCTTTCTCCTCAACCTCCTCAAGGCCTGGTAAAGCTCAAGCTGAGCAGGCCCTCTCTGTTGGCCCAGTGTATCTCTCCAGGCTTGGTGGAGACACGGTTTGCCTTCAAACTCCATGACAAGGACCCCGAGACAGCCGCTGCCACCTATGAGGACATAAAGGTGGGGCCTTCTCCTGGGCTGCGCCTAGTAAAGCCCCTGGGTCCTTAAGTCCCTGAGGGCGGCTCCCTCGGCTTCTCTTGTCACTCCCGGAGGACTGGCTGGGGTGGGAATGTGGGTGTTAGAGAGTCCCTCTGAGGGGAAGGAGCTTGGCTTACTTCTGTCCTCGTCTCAACCCTTTCCCTCTGGTGCTCGCAGTGTCTCAAACCCGAGGATGTGGCTGAGGCTGTCATCTACGTGCTCAGCACACCCCCACATGTTCAGGTGAGTCTGGCCTTAGCTGTTCGCCTGCTGGGAGAAGCCCAGGGGTGCCCACAAGTGGGCAGCAGGGAGTCATTTAGCGGGTGGCTGCCTCAAACCCTTCTGCCTTTCACAGGTTGGAGACATCCAGATGAGGCCCACAGAGCAGGTGACCTAGTGTTCTGTGAGGAACTCCTACCTTCCCCACCCTTCATGGCTGGCCTCCTGCCTCTGGATTTTAGGTGTTGATTTTTGGACCCTTGATCTTACTTCCTTATCCACTCCACTAGGGATAGAAAATTTGTCAAATTATCCCCATTATACATGTGAAAAAAAAAGGGGGGGCTGGGGAGAGAAGGCATGGTTGTGGCTGTTTTATCTGCTGACTTGTTCTGAGTCCCTCTCTTGGGTTCCTTAGCCTTTACTCTCCTCAGCCTCTTCCTCTTGACACAGGCAAGGGATGTGGCCAAAAGGGGCACTGTTTATTTTATTGCACCCTACCCTCTGCCCCTTAGGGTTTGGGTAGTAGGCAGAACCTCATCTTTTTCCTGTATAGTTACCCAGGGCTCCAGGCTCCCTTTCCAGTCCCCCACCCTTCCAGTCCAATTTTGGCTCTTATCCTGGGGTGATTACTGCACTCTAACCATGGCTACAGAATACCAGGACCTGTCTCCGAGCTTACATTTCACTGTAACAATTAAAGAGAAAGATCGCAACCTACTCTGGTTTCAGAAGTGTCTTTCATTTTTTTTTTTTTTTTCCTCTCCTTGGTAATCAGTGAGGTTGTGTCTCAGAATTTCTTCCAGGTAAGTGGGAAGGTGGGTATATTTGGGGCATCACTTCAGGATTGGGAGCAGGAGATGGTTAGTGCTAGGGCCAATCAAGTCTATATATGTCTCAAAAAACAACCCATAAGTTAGCAAGCAATTAAGTAAGTAAATAAGAAGGCTAGGAGATGATTTAGAAGTTAGGAACTTTGGCTGCTCTTCTGGAGGACCTAAGTTTGATTCCCAGAACCCACATGGTGACCCCAGTCCCAGGGAATCTGCATTCTACTGCTCTCCTGGGGCACCAGGCACGCATTTGGTGCACAGCCACACACACAGACAGTACACCTACATGCATAAACAATGAAAGAATTTTGAAAAATAAGATAAATTGTACCTGGGCATAGTGGTGCATACTTTTAATACCAACATTTGAGAAGCTGAAGCAGGGGGATCGCCGTGAGTTTGTGGCCAGCCTGGTCTACATAACAAGTTTTAGGCCATACATGGGGACTACTTAGTGAAACATTGCCTTTAGGGAAAAAAAGTTAAAAAAAAAAAAAAAAAAACAGGCTGAAAATAATTAGTAGGTAGTAGGGGCAGTGAGCAAAGGAATCTCAGTATTACTATAGGCAAAGAGCAGTGCTTGTCAACAGAGACCCCATAGGCCTTCACTGCAGTGGTCCAGTTCTGCTGACTGGTTCTAAGAGTCTGATAGGATAAGCTTCTGGGGAAAATTCCCAGATAAGATGATGTGCCTGAAAGTAGGGAGGAAAGCATCAAGACTGACTTGATAGAACAGGATTAATTGATCTTTGCAATTAAGTAAGTGAAAGCAGCTAGCCCACCCTCCTGACATCTCCCCTCACCGGGAGCAAACCGAGGTAGGGTCCGCTCAGCCTCAGCATCTCAGCATCAGCATGCATAGCCTCTAAGCTCGCCCGCGGCAGGACAGGTAGGGCGAGCCATTCCTGCAGAGGGTGCTGTGGAGACATAGTTGTGGCCAAGAACGCGAGTGCGTCATCGGTCAGGGGGCCGGGCCTCCGGAACCCGGAAGCTGGGGACTCACGTGGGAGTCTGATAGGTGACTGGTTTGGCTTGGGTGTCAGGTTGTGGGCAATCTTTGAGCGGGAGACTCGGGACTGTTTGTCCTATGTGAGGGGCGAGGTGTGGGAGGTCAACGGGTCCTCTGCATCCGTCTGTTAGTGGAGTCCCGGGCGCAGCTAGAGCGATGCGACTGCTCTGGACGGTCCGGTGCTTCGGTCGTCTGACTGCCCGTCATTTCTCCCCGGTGGCGCGGCCTGGCGGGGAGGAGCTGAGCCGCCTGCTTCTGGATGACCTGCCGCCGACCCAGCGGCTGGAACTTCTGTTCGGCCTGTCCCCGTGCCTCCTGGCCCTGCGGGCCGCCCGCCGGCGCGTGGCCCGGCTCCTGCTCCAGGCCGGTAAGGCTGGGCTGCAGGGGGAGCGGGCCGAGCTGCTCCGGGTGGCCGAAGCGCGGGGCATCCCTGTCCTGAGGCCCAGGCGGCAGAAGCTAGACGCCTTGTGCGGCCACCAGGTGCACCAGGGAGTCTGCATGGAGGTGAGCCCGCTGCGGCCCCGGCTTTGCGATGAGGCGGCAGAGGCGAGCCCGGGCAACGACCCTCAGCAGCTGTGGCTCGTCCTTGAGGGGCTCCAGGATCCCCGGAATCTTGGGGCTGTGCTGCGCTCCGCTCACTTCCTCGGAGTAGACAGAGTCATCACCAGCCGGAGAAACAGGCATGGATGTCTCTTAGTTCTGTTTGCGCCCGTTCTGGAGGCGGAGCCAAGTTCCTAAGCACCTTGGGGTAATCCCTCGTCCCGGTCTCCCGGTTGACCAGAGTGCTCACTCCTAAACCCTTGGGAGCCCAAGGGTGTGTAGGGCCCGGGGCTTGTGATTTCTGGGGTTTAACGCGGATTGTGGGGAACCTTTGCAGCTGCCCGCTTACTCCAGTAGTCAGTAAGGCCAGCGCTGGGGCTGTGGAGGTGATGGACGTGTTCGCCACTTCTGACCTGGCCAGTTTTTTGAAGGTAATGCGGGACAAGATGGGAAGGAGAGGTGATGAGTCTAGCTCAGGTCCTTAAAGCTACTTTCAGCTAGCAGTGGATGGGCGGAGGGGGGTGGGTCTGCGGGGGGGGGGGGCTGGGACGTGGTGACAGATTCCTACTGCCTAAGTCCTACTGGGAAGGATCCCGGGGTCTTTAAAATCACAAATGGAACATCGTCTGAAGTTAGGGATTTTCTCGATTCATTTCATTTACTGCAGGCCTTGGCCGCCTGTATCACCAAATCAATGTCTGACATCTTTGGGTTTTCAGCGATGCTCTGGGGAGCTGGTGGACAGCAGCTGTGGGTACTTGGAATAGAAGTTCATCTTGAGAGCGATTTTGAACAAGGCTTTTCTAGGGGCACACTGTAGCTTTCTTCTGCTGTGTTTTCCTGGATAGACACTAGGGGGCAGAATTACCTCGCATTTGGCAGTCCCTCTGACTTTTCCTGTCGCCAGCCCCCCCCCCCCCCCAGGAAAAAGGGGAAAGAAAGTCATCTAATAAACTTGTATTCAAGCCATGTGTCTAACTTCAGGCTTTCTAGTAACCACGCTGAAAAGTAAAACGAGCCCTGTGTCTGTAATTTGAGCCTTTAGGAAGTGGAGACAGGAAGGCTTTCAAGGCCATCCTGGACTACAATGAGACCCAATCTCAAAAAACAAAACAGCAACAACATCAAAAAACCAGAAAAATAAAAAGAAACATAATTTTATTCACTATGCCCAGAATGTCATTAAAACACACTTGAAATATTATTAATGGGGAAAAAAAATTGAGACAGGGTCTTGTGTAGCCCAGGATGGCCTCAGATCCACAGAAATCCTCCTGCCTTGGCCTCCTTATGCCACCGTGTCCAGATGAAATCACATTTTAAAATGTATACATAATACATCTTAATTCGGGCTAGCCTTTTCGGTCATTAATAGTCACGTGTGCTAGGGCTGGAGAGATGGCTTCAGGGTTAAGAGCACTGGCTGCACTCCCAGAGGACCCAGGTTTGATTCCCAACACCCACAAAGTAACTCCAGTTCCAGAGCATTTTAGCCCTCCCTATTCCAGCCTCCAGAGATACCAGGCACTTGTGGTATATACACATCCATGCAGGTAAACCCTCATACACAAAAGAAAATGGAAGCAGTCAGATGTGCCTCATGGTTTTCATAGCGAACAGCACACATCTAGAAGCAGTCTCCCTTCTGAGGAACTCTGGCCAAGCCTGGTGAGAAATGGGATTCACCTTTTGTTTATTTTTTTCCTGAGACAGGGTTTCTCTGTGTAGCCCTGCCCCCCACCCCCATTCTGCAGACCAGGCTGACCTCAAACTCAGAGATGGCCTGCTTCTGCCTCCTGAGTGCTGGGATTAAAGGCATGTCACCACTGCTGGGTTTAAACTCTCACCTTATTTGACTGCTTCCCAAATGGATGCTCTAACCTCTCCACCGCAACTCCAGACTTATTACCACCTCCACTCTTCCCCTCTGCTCCCACAGTGGGCATTTCAAATGCCCCACCTCCAGGACTTACCGTCCACCCGGTCTTTGTTCAGCCCAGAGATCTCCTTTGACTTCTTGTCCTCACGGCTTTGTCCCACATGTCCCCAAACCCTTTTGCCTTTTCCTTGGAGTTATTGCTACACCATCCCCATTTCTCACCCTTTCTAATGCTGCCCCCTTCTGAGTTTCCCATCTCCCCGATGCTGGGTATCAGTATGGCATGCACACCCGTGTCATGCAGGGTCACTTTGTTCAAAGCCTTTCAAAGCATCAGGTCCAATGGCACATACTTGTAGTCTCAGTACCTGAGAGACTAAGACTGGAAGATCACCATGGGTTCAAGGCCAGCCTTGGGTTCTTAGCGAGCTCATGTCTTAAAAATCAAACCAAAATAAAACCTTTCAAAGCTTTGACATCAGAATGAGAGCCCTATGTTTCCAGTGGCCCTTGACACCTTACTCTGTGTGGCCATTGTTTTGCCTCTTTGAAGACTTTCCCTCCTGCCAGCTTACCATTCCTCAGCTATGATGGGGGAGCAGGGCCTTTATGCCTCCATACTTGCAGGTCTCCCTGCCCAGAACCTTCCCTGACTTCCCGTGAGATGCTCATTCACTAGTTGTCTTCAGGCCTGCTCTCTGCCAACACTACAAGGATAACTTCCACGGCCCCCCAGCCACACAGCTGGGATTTTAGTCTGTTGTGTTCTTGGCCCCATCCTCAGTGCCCAGAGCACATGACTAGCCCTAAGTGGAAGGCACCTCTCCGTGAATGTGTGTGTGCAAGGCTGGGTTCATTGGTCATGGCTCTGGTGACCATTTAGTAAACCGGGACATGGTGTTTTCTTCTTTCTTTCAGGCCAAGGCCCAGCAGGGCTGGCTCGTGGTGGGCACAGTGGGCTGCCCAGGACCTGAAATCCCCCAGTCCTCCAAGGTCCCCATCACTAGCTGCCTAGAGTTCGTCTGGGACCGGCCTACTCTCCTTGTGTTGGGTAGGTAGGCTATACCTGCGTTTATGATTTCATATGTCTGCTTTCTAAGTGTGTGGACATCAGCTTGGGGCCCTCTAACACTGTCCCATGTCCTGCAGGCAATGAGGGCTCTGGTCTGTCCCAGGAGGTTTTTGCCTCCTGCCAGCTGCTCCTTACTATTCTGCCCAGGCGTCACCTGCCTCCCGGTCTTGAGTCCTTGAATGTGTCTGTAGCCACCGGTGAGTCTCCACTTCCCCTCATGGGGGTGGCTACTGTCTCCCTGTTGTTTTCTGACAAGTTACCCTGAACAAACCCTGTGCCACTTATGTGTGAAAAATGAGAGTGTGCCCTGTGTGTGTCCTGATCCTCTCCATCTCCCCCTTGCCTTTAGGAATTCTTCTGCACTCCATTTTCAGCCAGAAGAAGAGT